TTCATTCCTATATGTGTTGGATGACTAAAGAATTCTCCATCTATGTCTCAATATGGTTTGTGTTTAAATAAAGTCACTTCATGGAAGAAACCTTCAGGTGTTTAATTGTTGGTTAACCCAATGGGGTTCATTCTAATATAGATATTTGAGCTATAGATATTTGATGCACAATTAGACTTATGATATATATAAAAACTTAATTCCATTATGTGCTGAATGAGTAAAGAATTCTCCGTCTATGTCTCAATATGGTTTTTGTTTCAATAAAGTCACTTCATGGAAGAAACCTTCAGGGTTTAATAGTTGGTTAACCCAATCGAGTTCATTCTAATATAGATATTTGAGCTACAATTAGGCTTATGCTATATATAAAAACTTAATTCCATTATGTGCTGGTTGGGTAAAGAATTCTGCATTTAAGTTAGCGTCTATGTCTCAATATTGATTGTGTTTCAATAAAGTCACTTCATGGAAGAAACCTTCAGGGTTTAATTGTTGGTTAACCCATTCAGGTTCTTTCTAATCTCTCATTTGAGCTTTGGTTTGTACTTTCACTCCATAGGGATCTGCTTCTTGTTAATTTTCTATGTTCGAGGAAAAGATAATAACTGAATCAAAGTGGGAAAACTTTCCCATGTCTTCTGTAAATAACTCAGAGTCCGGTCTGACCTGCTCTGTTTGGAAAACTGTTGTTGTGATGTTATAGAAATAAAATTGAATCAATACAGAAAAGCCACTGCAAAGCTGTGTGGAAAAATGGCTGCCTATGCTCTCACTGTACAGTTCGACAACACTTCTGGTTTTAAAGCTGACACGTTGGATTACCTTCTAAAAGTTATTTCACATTCGAGCAAAAAAAAATAAATAAAAAAACTCAACCCCAAACAGATTTGAAAAAAACGTCAGAACAGAAGCATTTAGCCTCACCTTTAACCAGGGTGTGCTTGTCGGTGGGCGAGGACCGAGCCAGCACGCGCAGCTTGGGCCAGACTTTATCGATTCGCTCCTGTTCAATCTGTGAGGGAGAGAGAGAGAGAGAGAGAGAGAGAGAGAGGAGATAGAGAGAAAGAGAGAGAGAGAGAGGAGATAGAGAGGGAAAGAGAGAGAGAGAGAGTGAGAGGCCTCTCACTAGATGTCACTGTCGATCAGTCGAGCATTTCACTCCTGGGCCTTCAGTAGAGCTCCGTCTGAATCAATTTATTTATTTATTTATTTAATCAGAACAGTGCACATTAATGAACAATCTCATACAGATTGTAAATGAGCCAGATTATAGCATAGTTGCTAGTTTACATCTGTGGTCCTGAGGCAGGAAGACCAAACACCATAAGATCACAAAATACAATATCAGTCAAATCACGTATAGACACGTTCAGACAATGACATTACAATAATAAAATGAGTGAGTGCATGACTGGGAACTTTTAAGAAACTGTTTAGGGTGCTTTTTAAATGTGTAAAAAGTGGGGCGTTCCCTGAT